AGAGAGAGAGAGAGAGAGAGAGAGAGAGAGAGAGAGAGGGAGGAAAGAAGTTGGCGAGAGTGGAGATTATAAGTGGCAAAAGTACTGCGAAAAGCGACGAGGCTAAATAATCGGAGATGCGAACGACGAACGATAATGATGCACCACTCGAGGCGTCCTCTTGTTTCTTCTCTTCTATCCGACGGGACGATTCGATTGTTCCCTTTTGGCAGGATGTTTCGTGTGTACATAGGCTCGCGAAAGTACTCGAACGCTTGTAGACATTCTTTTATAGGTAGGTATATCATGTGCGTTGTGTTGCGAGATAATTTCATTGACAATTGTCGTGATTACATTGACATAAAGTACGCAGTGCAAGTGTATTTCGTATAGTTCGCAGAAGTATTTAAACAGTGCACCAGCTGTTACATTAATAGATATCAATATTGAATAAGGCTATATTTTAAGATGACTAGTTGTATCATGTACCAATTTTTTTTTAGCAAATACCTCTTCGAATCAAATCCAGACATAATCACGACAACTGTGTCTTATTACAGTGTTGATCTTATATAGACGTAAAATTTTTACGCGGAAATGATTCACAAGGATGGCAAACAAACAAAATAGGGGAACGTTCAAGAGAATGCAAATCACCGGTGTCACTTTTACGAACTAAACTTTCCCCGTCTATGATGATACATCGTTGAAGAAGTAAGTAATTCGCCAGCATGCTCTGTTTATTGTCTCTCGTGCGCTATATTCAGAAAATTGCAGGTTTTCCGTGGGTAGAGTGTAAAATACTGCTGAGGAATGAAGTAGCAGACCCTGCGGGGATTTCTGCCCGGCGAGGTAAGATTCCAGAGAGGTTCACCGCGTGCGAGATACACCTTGTCTGCTTTACAAAACACCGTTATTAAAACGGAGGAGGACAGTTACGTGGCGAGGCTAACCCTGTGATCTAAGAGATCTAGTCGCTAATCCTCGTTGGCCTGATTAATCCGAGCTCACCGAATTTTCCGGCTCGCCGGTGCACGTCGGTCGTAGAGGAAAGAAGCCTTCCCGTCTGGCCATTCCTCGTTATACTAGAATATTCTGTTATCCTTTTATCTCGATCTTCCCTGCATAATCTTGAAAGGAAGAAAGAAAAAAAAAAAAGAATTCGAGCTCGCTGGCCTGGCTCGAGAATTCGAGCAATCGGAGTAGAACGCGCATTACTTGGTGGATGTTGCACAGTGAGATTGCAGCAATAAAATTGAGGGTCAAGTAGGGCCATTAATTATTGAAATATAGCTGCTACTGAGACTCTACGCGATTTGAAAGAACATGGATATTTATGACAGTTAACACTAGAACCACCGACCATTCAAAAGGGTAAATACGTTTATTTGAACCAAATTTTAATCAATATCGATTAAATTAATGGTTGAAGCCATTTATCTGAACGTAAACAGTTATTACATGAACGAAAAATCGACAGCAGCAAGGAAAACCAGTAAACTTCTATTGTATAAATTTCAATTACATGCACTATTTGCCTCATAACAAG